CAAATCACATACACATTTAACATTTTGAAATGTCAGTGCTTATATTCTTGTTCAAGTGACTGACAAAGTGACTGCAAATGTGAATTTCCACTATTTCTAAATACAGCATAAACAGTGCTCTTTGCCTTTCTTTCTAGAGGCATTTGACCAGTTTGGTTGTGCCCATTTATAACCTCAGGTAGAACTTGATATGGGGATATGGGTTGCTTTTGTGCATTTGATTTTCTTTATAGATGTGCCTGCCTGGTTATATTTCTGTCTCTAAGAGAAAAAGCGTAACATATTATGTAATGAAACGGGATTGGAGAGCTAGATAGTGATAAGGAAGCAACAACCCATTTTTTAAGACTTTGCCAAATTCTGTTCAGATAACATCAATAATGTAACTCTTTTTCCCCTAAATATTTTTGTGAAAAATATTTTTACCTATAGGAGCGAGATTTATTTCCCACATATAAATTAACAAATGATTTTTAAATATTGTGTTATCCTAGAGTAAATTGACTTTCCTTGTGTGAAATTTGAATATTTATTGTTGGGGCTACCTAACTTTTCAGTTCTTTTGTGTTATGAAACCAAGTATAATAAAGTGATATTTTGAATTGTCAGTATCAATATTGCATTTTTGTTGTTAATACTTCTAACTAAAATTTTCACTGGAGAAACTACTTGTCTTTAAACTTCATATATACTAGTTTGCCCTTGAAAGTGTTGATCCTAATTCTGCCTTGCTTTGTTACATAGAGGAAGGTATTTAATCATGCATATTTATCATTTGTAAGCTACTGCCTTCGCATTGTTCCTTAGCCACAAACTCTGAATCCTTATTGCCACCCAAGTTTGCATAGTTGGTACTCATCATCACAAGTGATGGGAGGATTAAGAGAAACAGAATGGTTGTATAATTCCTGGCAGTTCTGATAGTTTAGTAGTAATTACTCCTGGTGACCATTAATACAAAGTTAATAGTACTATCTGCTTGTATACAAAAAAAAGTACATAACTCCTCTTCATGTGAAAAGAATAAATTTACTTTAAGTCTAGTACAAAGGAGTTACCATGTCATAATTACTCTTAAAATAAAAGTGCTCCGTAAACACAAATTGTCCCTCTTCTTGGTACCTACAGATGATGATACAGTATTGCAGGTAAGAGCCTGAAATGGAGTACTAGTCTGTCCAATTCAAATCCTGGTTTCCATACTTACTGGCTGTGTGAGGTTGGACAAATTATTTTTTTATGTGCCTTAGTTTCCTAATCTGTTGCAGTACAGAGTGATAATGGGACATACTTCTTAGAACTGTAGTGTGAGTTTTAAATGAATTCATTATGAAAAATACTACCACAGGGCCAGGCACATGGTAAATATATATATTAGTATTTGGTTTTGGTGGAGCTGTTTGTATTCTTTTGTAGCTTACCTATTCCTGTCATTTCCCGATCCTTTTCTTTCCCTTGATTTACAAGATCTTTTTTACTTTCAACATTTTGACCCTTTTGTGTTGGAAATAGTTCATATGTATCATCTGCCTTTTGTTTGTGTTCTATTTTATTATATAAGAAATTTTAAAACTTTGTTCTAAGTTTTATAACTATTTACCTTTGATGGCTTGTAGATTTTAGTGTCACACCTGGGAAGGATTTCCCACCCAAAAATCATAAAAAGATTTCCTTTATATCCTTGTAGATTCATAGATTTACTTTTTTAAGGTTATGATCTTTAATTTTACCTGTAATTTCCTTTCATTTATGGTTTCGGGTACATGCCATCCTTTTTGTGCATATGTAAACATACATGTGGCCTTTCTCTGGTTATCTACCTGGTAGCACAGGAATTATATGTAAGCACATCTCTGACTTGTCCCTAATAAATAGCATGTTGACAGTTAGAATAATTTTTTTGAAGTTGAATATGAATTTTGAGCTCGTATATCCATCTAAGGTTGACAAAGATTCTGAAAAATTCAGTTTAATTTCAGTAATAGTGGGAACTGAGATTATATACTTAATGAATGCCTACATTTTGTTCATTTTTTTTCTCTAAGTTGTCTTCCTAAATTTTGTAAGTCCCTTGGTATCTTTCACTTACTGTACAACTATTTATTATATTAAGACAGTACATTTAATGGACTTCTAAATGTTGTATTAGAGACATGATGTGCCATGTCTATCTTGTAGCTTTCTATACTTGGCACCCACGTGCCCACACAACCTTTGGCAAACTGAGAAGTGTAGGCTTCATGGGTTTACCAAAAAGGGTTTGTTTTTGTTTTTCCAGTGAGTACCAAAAGCTGAAACACATCCCTTTTACTTGAAGATTTGAAGAGGGAAAACATTTTTATTTCAAACAAGTTCATTAGATGGGCAGAATGGCGCACACCTGTAATCCCAGCACTTTGGGAGGTTGGGACAGGGGGATTATTACTTGAGTGCAGGAATTTGAGACCAGCCTGTGCAAAATAGCAAGACCCCATCTCTACAAAAACAATTTAAAAATTAGCTGGGCATAGTGGCGTGCGCCTGTAGTCACAGTTACTTAGAAAGCCAGAGTGGAAAGATAGCTTGAGCCTCAAAGGTCAAGGCTGCAATGAGTCAGGATTGTGCCACTGAACTCCAACCTGGGTGACAGAGTGAGACCTTGTCTCTAAAAAATTAAAATTAAAAATTAAACAAGTGCATTAGTATTTTGGAGAAGAATGCAAAGTTCATATATATATATTTTTTTCTTTTTTGTAAAGATAGGGTTTGCTATGTTGCCCAGGCTTGTCTTGAACTCCTGGTCTCAAGTGATCCTTCCACCTCCACCTCCCAAAGTCCTGAGATTACAGGCCTGAGCCACTACACCTAACAGTTTCTATGAATTTTTAATATTCAATTAGAAGCCTTCAAATGAGAGCCATACACAAAAATGCAAAGCCACTTGTGCACAGTGGTAGGCCTCCTATCAGTCTACTGTTGTGTAGGGGTAGGGATCAGGACACAGCAAAATCAGGCTTAGCCAACTGCTCATCTAAATGGATTCTGACCAGGGAAGAGAGCTAACATTTTTGGAGGGCCTGCCCTGTGAGAGAGGCTGTGGTCGGTTCTACATTTAAATCAGTCAGTTCTCACAACAAACCTAGAATCTAGATATTCTTTTTTCCACTTTGCAGATCAGAAAACTGCAGCTCAGAGAGATTATTTACTGCACATATAACTAGCAGAGCTGGAATTTAAACCAATATCTAATGTTAGTGCACTTCTCTTTCTTTTGCCATTTCGATATGCCATTGACTCCTTCCCAGGCAATAAGTGGTGTGGCATATTAGCAAGTTTTGGTCACACATACTGGTTGTGTGACTTTGAAGACGTCATTTGACTTCTAGGCAATAATAACTTGAATGCTGAATTGGACTAGGTGATCTCTCAGGTTCTTTGGGGTTTCATGGGACCTTGGGATTCTAAGAGGATCTTCTAAGGTGTTCACCTCTTCGATTTTGCCCCTTCCTCACTCTCCCCTGCAGCTATTGCCTTATTTATTTCTTCAGTGGATTAAAAGCCTTACTTTTATGGAATTACAAAATTAAGAGATTCACGATTAAATTGTAAAGTCACTTTACAAAGAACACAAATAATTTGGTTGCTTAGTGAATGCTGCCATCTTGTGTCTACCATTTTATGAGCTAAAAAGCTAAAATTGAGAAAAAAATACTTGAAGGATTTTTTTTGTTTTGTTTTTGGTGTAACTTAAAACAATCATTTGATGTAGTGGCTGGAGAATCTTGGTCAGATTGAGATGACACAGTATCAATTTAAAGTTTTTTGACATTTGTTTTTGATACCCCCTTTTCTATTATCCTTGTGTCAAACATTGTGAAAACTAATATAAGGTTATATCTGGTTCCAAGTGATTGTGTTTCAAAATGGTTTTTGAAAAGTTAGTATAAAATGTGAGTTACTCTATAGTACATGCTTGGCTGTCTTGGTATTAGGTCTCTTGGTGCTTAGACTTCATTATATGCATATATGTATGCTTATTTCACCTTAAAATTGTACTATCCTGTTTATTGACAGCAAAAATGTCAAAGGACAATGGAAGAGGTATATAATCTTTTTAGAGTTGTTTACTTGCTAGGCTATATTCATTCATACCGAATAAATATGAAATGAAACTGACCTCAAAAATATGACATGGAGAACATTTTGCATTTGGGGTTTGTTTTGTTTTTGCCTGCCATCCAGACTGGAGTGCATGAGTAGCATGATCATAGCTAACTGTAACCCCCAACTAAAGCTGTTCTCCCACCTCAACCTCGTAAGTAACTAGGACTACAGGTGCACACCCGTACACCCAGCTAATTTTTTAATTTTTGTGGAGATGGGGTCGCATTGTGTTGCCCATGCTAGTCTTGAGCCCCTGGGCTCAAGTGATCCTCCTGCCTTGGCTTCCCAAAGTGCTGGGATTATAGGCATGAGCCACTGCACCCAGCCAACTTTTTTTTTTTTTTTTTTTAAGAACAATGTGGGATTCATTAAAAATGTTCAATGGCTTATTATTTTTGTTTTATTTTTTCTGTTGTATTTTTAAAAATCTAGAATGTTATTACTGTTCAGAATTAGAGTCTTAAGTCCGTAGAGTAACAGCTCTAGAAGAGAACTCTAAAAATGATGGTTCTTGGAGTTAAAGTGTTTCTGATTGTGATCTTTTTTCTGTCTCCTTATCTATAGATACTATCTCAATTATAACTCTGACTGCATTGTAGCTTCTCAGTACATATCACTTTCCTTCCTCTTCTCTCTTCTGCTTTTAACTAATCAATCCTCTTGGCCTCAGTGATTTATTCAGGTTCACATAGCTAATACATGCTAGAATTCATTGTTACTCAGTGTTCTGACTTTTGTTTCAGAAAATATATAATAAAAACAACTGACAGTAATATTTTTAATTTCTCAGTTTCATGTGGAGTATTCCATTTCCCTTGGCCATTTTGTTAAAATAGTTTCTTTTGTTTTCATTTTAGGCCACGGAAAGGTATGATATATTTGATCCAAGACAGTCCATTCCAGTCCGGGAATCTACAGTGGTGACAAGGACATGGGACTCCTCCTGCCAGATTACAGATGGTTCACTACAGTTGACATCCTGGCTGACAACTGTGAAAAAGAACCTTGGATTATTTTTTTTTTTTTTTCTGGGACACCACAATCCCAAATCCAAAGGACGCATCAGGTAATACTTGCCTGTCATTCAGAAAAACATATTTCTTTTTCTTGCAAAATCTTACCTATAAAAAGCAAGAAGCCGGCCGGGCGTGGTGGCTCACACCTGTAATCCCAGCACTTTGGGAGTCCAAGGTGGGCGGACCAGAAGGTCAGGAGATTGAGACCATCCTGGCTAACACGGTGAAACCCTGTCTCTACTAAAAATACAAAAAAAAAATTAGCCGGGCGTGGTGGCAGGCACCTGTAGTCCCAACTACTCGGGAGGCTGAGGCAGTAGAATAGCGTGAACCCGGAAGGCAGAGCTTGCAGTGAGCCGAAATGGCGCCCCTGCACTCCAGCCTGGGCGACAGAGCGAGACTCCGTCTCAAAAAAAAAAAAAAAGCAAGAAGCCAGTGTTTTCAGTAACTTCCCCACCCTGTCCCCACTTTGCAGTTGTTTGTTTTCAGAATGAAACAATTAACTTTGGTATGGGTTATAGTTCAGGAAGACATAGGTTTTTTTTTAAATTCAGTTCAGTCTGTCTGTGACTTTAGGATCTACTTCTCTTTGGCTTTTTTAACTTTTCAGCTGTATTTATCAATTCCTAAAATCCATTTATTTATTTATTTATTTATTTGTTTGTTTATTGAGACGGAGTCTCACTCTGTCACCCAGGCTGGAGTGCAGTGGCACAATCTTGGCTCACTGCAACCTCCGCCTCCCAGGTTCAAGCAATTCTGCCTCAGCCCCCCGAGTAGCTGGGACTACAGGCATGCAGGCACGTGCCACCATGCCTGGCTAATTTTTGTATTTTTAATAAAGATAGGGTTTAGCCATGTTGGCCAAGCTGGTCTCAAACTCCTGGCCTCAAGTCATCCGCCTGCCTCAGCCTCCTAAAGCACTGGGATTACAGGTGTGAACCACCGCACCTGGCCCTAAAATCCATTTAGATATTTAATTGCAAAACATTCTTTCAGGAAATGAACTTTTGAATTTTTCAAAATAGAGAAAATAAATTCCACTGGTTTTTTCTCCCCACAAGATTTTATTATGAAAATTTTCAGAAATATAGAAAAGTTGAAAGAATTTTACAGTGAACATCCCTGGAACCACCCCTTGATTTTACCAGTAACATTTTAGCATAGTTGCTATGACCTATGTCTGTCTATCTCTCTATATATATCAAGCTGTTCTTTTTTTTTAAGATGCATTTCAGAATAAGTTGTTTATATCAAGTTCTGCCATTATTGGTTTTTTTTGTTTTGTTTTGTGACAGAGCCTCACTCTGTCACCCAGCCGGAGTCCAGTTGGCGTGATCACAGCTCACTGGAACACACGCGCTTCGGCTTCAAGTGATTCTTGTGCCTCAGCCTCCCGAGTAGCTGCAATTACAGGCGTGTACCACCATACCTGGCTAATTTTTGTATTTTTAGTAGAGTCTTTTTGTTTTGCCACTTTGCCCAGGCTGGTTTTGAACTCCTGAGCTCAAGCAATCCGCCCACCTTGGCCTCACAAAGTGCTGTGATTACAGTCATGAGCCACCCCACCGGCCAAGTTCTGCTGTTTTTATTACATTTTTTGCAGCTTAAAATGACTGCCATCTTTAGCTGAATCTCTAATACATTAATCCAGTGTGAAAACATTGATTTTCTTAAACTCACTAATGACATGAAAATATACTGTAATCTTATGTATTTGATTTCCTGTGGATTCCATATTCTAGAGTGCCTGGATAATATGTGTTGTTTGGCATTGAATCACTTAATTCAGGAGAGTCTTCAATGCTTTCTTCATATTGCTGAACATATTTGTTAATCCAGATTTACAAGTGTATTTTGTAATAGAATGTTACTGTTTATTTTATTTATTTATTTTTTTTGAGACGGAGTCTTGCTCTGTCGCCCAGGCTGGAGTGCAGTGGCGTGATCTCAGCTCGCTGCAAGCTCTGCCTCCCGGGTTCACGCCATTCTCCTGCCTCAGCTTCCCGAGTAACTGGGACTACAGGCGCCCGCCAGCACGCCCAGCTAATTTTTTGTATTTTTAGTAGAGACGGGGTTTCACCGTATTAGCCAGGATGGTCTCGATCTTCTGACCTCGTGATCCACCCGCCTCGGACTCCCAAAGTGCTGGGATTACAGGCGTGAGCCACCACGCCCAGCCGTGACTATTTATTTTTAAATTGTTTACTTTTGGAAATATTTCAGGGTAATTTAAGAAATTTGGAATTTTAGGAATCCAGATGAAAAAGCTATTATAGATATCCCTTTGGAGAAGAAGATTTCTAATGTCTTCTAAATACACATATATAATTCTCCAGCCATTACCTTCTACCTTGATCTGGCTCATTCCTTAATGTTTCTTAAGAATTGCCACAAGTAAATGTGCATCAAAATCACCCCATATTCTTTTTTTAAATGTTATTTATGTATTAGCAACAGGGTCTTGCTATGTTGCCCAGGTGACCTCAGCCTCCTGGACTCAAGCAGTCATCCTGCCTGACTCCCAAGTAGCTGGGACTACAGCTGGGTACCACTGTGCCTGGCTCACATACTTCATATAGCTCTTTTCCCACTGTATTGTGATTTTTTTTTAATTTGGATGTATCTAGCACAAAATTATATACTCCTTGAAAGCAAGAATTTTGTTCCTGTCTATATTCAACATTATTTCTGGAACATGACAGACAGTAGGTTAGTATCATGCAGTAACTGAATGTAAAAAAGTTTAAAACTGTATTAATCTTTTTTTCTTAAGGTTTCAAGCTCCCTGTAGAATTCGAAAATAACCTTTGCTAATGAGGATGTCTGATACTGTTACTGTAAAAGATGAAACTGCAACAATGAAGGATTTGGAGGCAGAAGTGAAAGATACAACCAGAGTTGAAAATCTTATCAAATCAGAAAACTATGGGAAGATTTTGGTAGAGAAGAATGAACATTGTATTGAGAACAATATAGATCTGCAGGTAAACAGGAATTTTTCTCTGACTACAAATACTAAATATTCAGTATATATTTATGTTTATTTTCATACAAAACTCACTTCTCAGAATTCTAAAAGGGTAAGTTGACCCTTTGTGACATGCTTACTAGCTGGTTTGGGAGCCAGTTGGATTAGCTTGCTGTGAGTCTTAACTTGCTTGTATCATATAATATAATTCTTTTTATTTGTATGTGGCTAGTACATTTTTATTGGCTTTCTACTTTCTCGTTCCACCCTTTTCCTAATTACCAGTGCTATGAGAGTTTGGAAGTCTCACAGTTAAATTTTGAATTTAACCTAAGAGCTCTTAGAGGAAAGAGAAATAGAATAAAACTGCAGATGATCTATTGGCAAAAACAGCCCTCAGGAGGTTCCTCAGTCACTCAACCTGACTGACAAAACAGATTTGTGGGCTGGGGGAAGTTAATGCTTTTAATACTGTGCATGTATAATGACTTAAAACTAGCCACTGAGAAGGCTTCTAATTCCAGGCATAAATGGAAACTGAGTTGATTAACAAATTGAAGATAGGTAAAAATGGTCCCAAGTAATAGCATTTCTAGTAGCATTCATTTCTTTGGTAAGGTTTTCCAGTTATCTATTTTCTCAAAATGAAGGGCTAACACTTTTAAACAATTTATTTTATTTTATTTTATTTTATTTATTATTATTTATTTTTTTTGAGATGGAGTCTTGCTCTGTCGCCCAGGCTGGAGTGCAGTGGCGTGATCTTGGCTCACTGCAGCCTCCCTCTCCCAGGTTCAAGCAATTCTCCTGCCTCAGCCTCCCAAGTAGCAAGGACTACATGCATGCACCCCCACACCTGGCTAATTTTTTTCTATTTTAGTAGAGATGGAGTTCCACCATGTTGCCTAGGCTGTTCTGGAACTGCTGAGCTCCGGCGATCCGCCCGCCTCAGCTTCCCATAGTGCTGGGATTACAGGCACAAGCTACAGCGCCTGGCCCACAGTTTTTTTTTTTTTTAATATCTCATCATTTATGAGTCAGGAAATGAAGCAAGGCTTGGGCTGAGTGAATTTTCTATTCTACAAGGTATCCAAAGAGGTCCTTTGTTGACATTTAACAGGCTAGTGGACTGCTCTGGAGCATCCCGGACTGCCTCTTGCACCTGTCTGGCACCTAGGTAGGAATGACTGGAGTGCTGGGCTCAGGTGGAATTAGAAGCACCTATTTGGCTCCTCCAACAAGATCGGTCCAAAGTAGTCAGACTTCTTATGTGGCAGCTCAGGGGTCCCAGAGAGAATGTTCCAAGAAAGCCAAGCAAAGCTGCAAGGTTTCTTTTGACGTAGGCCCAGAAGTTCCAGAACGTTACTTCAGCTATCTTCTTTTGACGACATAAGTCATTAAAGCCAGGCCAGAAGATGGGGAATTAGACCCTACCTCTCAGTAGGAAAGAATTTGTAGCCACCTTTAAACTACCACAAAAAGTTATTCAAAAAAAAATTGTTTAGGCCGGGAGTGGTGGCTGTAATCCCAGCACTTTGGGAGGCCGAGGTGAGTGGATCACGAGGTCAGGAGATTGAGACCAACCTGATCAACATGGTGAAACCCCAACTCTAGTGAAAATACAAAAAATTAGCCGGGTGTGGTGGTACGCACCTGTAGTCCCAGCTACCAGGGATCCTGAGGGGAATTGCTTGAACCCAGGAGGCAGAGGTCACAGTGAGCCGAGATCGTGCCACTGCACTCCAGCCTGGCAACAGAGCAAGACTCCGTCTCAAAAAAATAAAATTAAATTAGCCGGGCGTGGTGGCGGGCGCCTGTAGTCCCAGCTACTCCAGAGGCTGAGGCAGGAGAATGGCGTGAACCTGGGAGCGGAGCTTGCAGTAAGCCGAGATCGCGCCACTGGGGGTGACAGAGCGAGACTCCGTCTCAAAAAAAAAAAAAGAAAAAAAAATTTTAAAAATTGTTTAACAATGTTTTAATTTTGTTTTGCAATTAAAGAATTCTATTTTTGGAGATAATATTCTATCATTCTGTATGCTAAAGACTTTGAAGGCTATAAGCCAAAAATTATAGCTTTATCTTTTTTTCTTTTGTGTTTTCTTTTTTAGCTTCACTTTTTTAAAGTAAAGAAACCTGATTTTGAGGTGGGGGGGGTGTGCTTTTTTTTTTCCTTTTAAGACGGTGTCTCACTCTGTCACCAGACCGGAGTGCAGTGACGTGACCTCGGCTTACTGCAGCCTCCGCCTCTGGGTTCAAGCGATTCTCCTGCCTCAGCCTCCCAAGTAGCTGGGACTACAGGCATGCGCCACCATGCCCAGCTAATTTTCGTATTTTTTGTACAGACAGGGTTTCACCGTGTTGGCCAGGATGGTGTCGATCTCTTGACCTCATGATCCGCCCGCCTTGGGCTCCCAAACTGCTGGGATTATAGGCGTGAGCCACCATTCCTGGCCAAGAAACCTGTTTTTAAAGGTTTTCTCATTCTTTCATTCAGTCAAAAACTGTCTTTTTTCCCTATTATGTACCAGACACCAGATTAGACAATGATAGCAATTCCTCCAGCTATAAAAAAGCATTTAGGCCCCACTTATAGTCAAGTGGTAATCATCTAAGAAATTGAGAGGAATAACATATTTTTTCCCAGTCATTTTTACTGATAGCACTTTTTAAAACAACAAAAAATTGCCATGCCTGTAATCAGTACACTCAGTGATGGCAGCATGCCAGTGTCCTGATTGCATCAGAGAAAATCTGCTAAAATTCTATTGCATTTGTGATTGAAATAATAAAATACTTCATTTTAGCCTCTTTTCTACACCTAATGTTTCTTCTCCTAGATCATGCTTATCAACAAGTCATTAACTTGGGTTATTGCATTTCCTACCATATCTGTTGTGTTGCCCTTGGCAGTATGCCACAAGAACATTCTGATGACCACTTTTGCATCATGGCCCAGTTGTTTGTAGTATAAGAAAATTTCCCACATGACCCAAACCTTTTATTGAAAATCTCTTCTTTACCAAGGAAATACCATAGTAAACAAACATGGGTATGGTCTTTAACCTCGTGTTTCCTATAGCATAGTGACTGTAACGATTTGGGAGGAAGGAAAAAGCAAATGTGAGAATTTATTTTATGTTAATCTGGTGAATGCCATATTCATTTTTTATTCAAGTATTTATTAATAATTTACTACATGGGGTGGGCGCGGTGGCTCACGCCTGTAATCCCAGCACTTTGGGAGGCCAAGGTGGGCAGGTCACGAGGTCAGGAGTTCGAGACCAGCCTGACCAACATGGTGAAACACCGTCACTACTAAAAACACAAAAAAATTAGCTGGGCATGGTGGTGCACGCCTGTAATCCCAGCTACTTGGGAGGCTGAGGCAGGAGAATCACTTGAACCTGGGAGGTGGAGGTTGCAGTGAACTGAGATCATGCCACTGCACTCCAGCCTAGGTGACAGAGCGAGACTCTGTCTCAAAATAATAATAATAATAATAATAATGTATTATATGTAAGAATACTGACTCTACTTTGAGCTTTTGAGGCCCAAGATGCCTTCATCCAAGGTGCCTGGCAAGGGGTGTACAGTTGAAATACCTTGTATAGAACAGATTTAATGGAAATTCAGAATTGGAAGTCAGTAAAACTGGAAAATTGGTTTCTTCTGTGTTTTCATTTAAAATATTGTAAAACAAAGTTAACTTTTTAAGCATCAGCAGGGAATAAGTGTTTTGTTTTAAAAAGTCTGGTTAATACGGAGTTACCTTTAACTTAATGTGGAGTTAACTATTCTAACATACTACCAGATATTTCATCTTCCTTTGGCACGTCTAAGGTACTGCCTAAAGGTTGTCATCTTAAATAGCAACTGCTATTTTTCACTCATAAGTTTGGATGTATGTAGCAAATAATGTAGGTTTTCTATTGAGATTTTTGAATAAACTGTTACTTTATTCTAATAGAGTGACAAGATTATTCTCTACTTGGCTCTCATTCTGAAAATCAGCTACCATGAATATTATAACTTACGTCTGTTACCTTGCTTCAGCATAGTAATATTTAAAGTGATTAAAGGAAACAGAAATGTTTACCTTCCAAAAGAAGCATTCATTTCATTCATTTATATTTAAAAAACTGCACTTTTATTATATACATTTTGAGTGAAGTCATTTTTAATTAAGGGATGTTACAGCCTCTTTTGTACTATGAAGAGACCTTATGATTTTCTTTCTGTTAAGGATATAGTGTTTACATAAAAAATAATTCCATCAAACTAGAGAGAGGCCAACAGACATTACATGTCATCTCGGGTGGTTCCAAGCAGAGATTATTATCTCAAAGAGCTCTTTGACCATTTAATTTATAAATAATTCTACTTGTGTTTTCTACTTTTACTAGTTTTCTCTTTCTACTTTTAAAAAATGTTGTGTTTCTTATTCAGGGTTTTGTTTTGGACTGTAATCTTTTATAGAAGTTTTGGGATTACTTTCGTAAGAATTTAATACTTTAGAGCTAATTCAAGAAATCTGTGTGCATTAATGTCAGGAAGTTAACTTTCCCACATAATTGCCTTGGAGTTGTTCTGAATTGTTGATTATGGTCTCAGATAATTATCTGACAGGTTTTTGGTTAGGAATTTTTCTACTGCCACACGCTGTTCCTATTGAGAATGTAGAGGTACATTTCAGGCTTTGTATTTTTATGAAACATTTGGAAGGTTGGGGTGGTGGATTCCAGGTTTCTAAATCCAGAAAAATGTGTTTTGTTAGACTGTGAGTATCCCTAATCTTTAACATGGGTTAATTGGATGGTGGGGAGTATTTGCTTTGATTTCCTGTGTATAACTCCCTGATGGGTCTCCATTGTTTGATTTTCTTCACGGATAGGTTTTTCAGATTACATTTAGACTAAATTAGCCTGGTGTGGTGGCACATAACTGTAATCCCAGCACTTTGGGGAAGGCCGAGGCAAGCAGATCACTTGAGTTCAAATTCAAGACCAGCCTGGGCAA